CACGGAGGTTAGCCACGCATCAAATTTCGAGTACTCTAGTTTCGCCGTTGGCCAAGGGGATGTTTCCTCGTCATCGGGAAACGCGGAAGCGGGTAGTGCCTTAAGACACTGTCGGTGGGGGTTGGAAGGGGAGACTTCGATTAAGGCACAACATAAAGCCCCTTGCCGCTCCTCCACTAAACGCAGAGCCACGTCGGACTCCATCGCGGGGAGCACTAGTATAACGTAGAGCCCTTGAAGTGGGTGGTGTATGCAAGCTGCACCCTCCGAAGCCTGCTGTAACAAGACCGCAACCACGGATTTCCCCTTGCCCCTCGGAGGCGGCTTATATCTCTTAGGGGGTGGTCGTAGAAGTGCCGTAGCTTCCTCCTTAGACATGTCTGCCACCTGCTTAGCCAGTATGTCGTACGCCTGCTCAGCGGGGGTCCGTTGACGCGTCCCTAGTGTACCGTCGCTCCGTTGGGTGACATCAGTGGCACGAACAACCGGTAGATCGCACCACTGGCCATCCACATACGTGCGTAGCTTATCAGACTGGAAATACCACGCTACCCTATGCTTAGTCAGCCAATCAAGTCCCACCACTAAGTCATATGGCACCGGCCCGACTAAGAAGTCGCCGGCTAAACGAGTCGCCCCACACCACATAATGAGCCCCTTCATTACGCGATCTATTCTCAACTGCCCACCGTTAGCTACGGTGAACACGTGTTCCTCGGGCAGCTTCCGAGCTCTCAGCTGCAGGCGTTCTACCGTCCCTGGGTTGATGAAGCTCCTCGAGGCTCCGGTATCCAGTAGAGCTTCGCACTGGTTGCCAACCACTTCGACTCGTAGTACGGCGGTCATTCCCACACTGCACAGAGTCCCTTTGGGTGTGGCGTCTTCCTGCGCCCTCTGCTCGCGCCACCACTGTAGTTCTTTAGTGTTAGTGACCTGCGGTTGGTCCCCTTCAGTGGCGGCGGCGTTCAGCTTGCGGCCCTGGTCCCGTCGACGTCTAGGCCCTTCCTTGTTTTGCAACACCGCCTCGGCGTGCGACTGGTCTGCCGAGGGCTGCTTAGTCTCCCCCACGTCTTGTCCCTCGGCGTATTTCCGCTCGTTCTCCCTACACATCCTCCTCCCCCAATCTGGGGAGACTGGAATGGAGTTAGGCCCGGACGCTATCGCGCACATCGCACCTTTACCACTCCTAGTCCACCTAGCCCGCTCGTCTCCCTTAACGGCTAGGCTCGTTCGTTTAAATGCCCCGGTCGGTTGGCGCTGGGCCGCGTTGGCTGCTGTCTGGGCGACCGGACGGGCTCTGCCCTGGGGCGAGCTGGCGTAGGACAATCTCTAGCATAGTGATCCCGGCCTCCACACCGGGAGCACATTTCCCCGTTTCGTCGCGTCGCTCCAATACGGAGGGGACAGTCCCTGCCCACATGTCCCCTTCCGCTGCACGCGTAGCAGTGTGTGTCCGCAATATCATTCCTTCTGTCGTCCCTGTTCTCTCGTTCGCGTGGTAGGCCCGGCTCGCGCCCACCTTTATCCCACTTTCGTGAGGCATCCTCTAAGTCTCGCCGGAGACGGTGGCATTCTTCGCGCAAATCCTTCCACGGCAACACCATGGTTGCCAGTGCTGCGGCGGCTTCCTGCCAATCGGAGAATCTCCTTGTTCCCCCGTGAGTAACCTCCCGGATTATTTCATCTGGCAGGTTGGCCAGGTAGTAGCCCACCAACAGATCTGGGGCCACCGTCACCCCTTGAGCCACGATGTCCGCAAAACCCGCAGAGTATGCGTGGGGGTCGCCCCTCCAGACATTCTTCGCTAACATGACTTTCATCCGTTCCAGAGTTATATTACAGAAGCGCTCGCAGAATCGTTGTCTCAGTCGCTCCCAATCAGTTAGACGTTCCCCAGTGCGGCGCAGATACAACCAGAATCTCAAGGCTTCTCCCCTCAGATATCTTTTGATTTCTTCTCCCCACACCCGTTCTTCCAGCCCTCTCTCAATGAAATCTAACTCCGCTAGGTCGAAGAAATCCCTCACGTTCTCGCCGTCCTCGAATCCGATGGCCCTATGGGACGCCTGCACTGCCCCCTGTGCCATCTGTGAGGCAAGCTCCCGATAGAACGAGGGTAGATTTGGATCCACCCGATTTCGCTCCACTCCGGATGTCTTGCGCCCTCCATCATCGCGATCACAGTCTCTCGGTGCCGATCGAGGCAACCCCGCGGGGGGTGGGCTGTTGCAGCGATCGGGTTCTGTTCGCGGCGTTACCATTGGGCAATCCGCGGATTCGTCGTTTGGCTCCCCTATATGGTGCATTTCAGGGCCCGGTGCAGGCGGAGGCAGTACCACTTTCCCGCTGCGTAGATGCATATCCCGCTCCGTCCTCATTGAGGTGTGGTGATCCCTTCGGGCGTTAGAGGGAGGGTCTTCCCTTGTTAGCAAGTTTGAAATGCTGCCCAGGTTGTTTTTTTATTTCCCGGAACGGCCCCCAGATGTAGTGAACAGCTGTCTACACTGTTACTACGTAAAGTCCTAAGCGAGCCCGACTCGGCGGTCACTCGGCACAGTCGGTCGAAGGTACCTGACTTTAGTTGACAACTATGGAATACCTTATTTACCTCGTACAATTGAGTTCATATTATCATGAGGTGTGTAAACCCAAAATAATAGAACTGAAAGCTGACCTTCGCTGTGAGTCAGTGCCCGAGTCGCGTCGCGGCACCAACCTCGTGGTCAGCCTCGCACCCGGTGCGAGCTCTTTGTTCGCTCTTATGAATTTCCACTAGCCTACGGTGCCTTATGGCCTAAGATATTCGATATTATCCATGCTTTTCGCATTAGTAAGA